TTCAAGATCGGGTACTATATGCGATTTTAGACAAGCGGATGGACGTTCTGTTCGCATAGGCGTACCTCGAGCCAGTTGCTACCCGAACAGAAGAGTTTCAAGCCTTCGTCATCGCGGAATGTGTGAGGGTAGCTGTCTGTAACCCCAAGTTAGACTTGCGCTACAGAGGGTCTGGGGAGTGTGACATACCCGAGCCGATGGGGTTGCTGACATGCGCGAAGCCCCCGCTGACTGCGGCGGAGACTTGCGAGACGGTGTACACATCGCTGCCGCACGTAACATCACCTGAGGGCAATGCCCGGCGCATCGGCGAAGCGAACGCAAGGGGAGCGAGCGCAGATGCAACGACCAACGAGCGAATGAGGGCGAGCATGGTAGGGACCACAGAGCAGAGTCTTGCAGGAAGAATCTCGCATTTTATATCTCGACGTCGGCGAGACGAGCATGCGTCCCCAGATCTCATCGACAGTTCGACAAGCCAACGTCGTTGGAGATACGAGAACGTGCGCGTGCTTGCCGAGGGCTACCCAAGCAATACCATGTGCATCTGTGCGACCAGCCCGATCTTCGTCCACCGTGAAGACGTTCTGCAAAGTGTTCAATGGCCCGACAGCAACTAGCGGCGCATATTAGACAACGCTCGTGCGCCCGAAGCGCTCGTACAGACAGCAATTACTGCTTCGGCCACCAACGTTGGTGAAGCGGCGTACAACGCAAATAAGGGACGATTCAACGGGACGTAAAGACTGGTGGTCACCGGGGAGATAAACGCTCAAACAGTCAGAGCTGTATTGCCATATCGGGTAAAGCACGTTGTCGGGAGAAGCGCGACGAAGAACATGTAAAGCAACGAGAGCAGAGCGGAAGGTAGATTGTCACACAGAGACCGTATGCTCCAGTATGATGACCATATGTCCCAGTACAGGGTTCGTGCGTGCCGATACGTGCCGCTAATGGAAGAAGCTGCTTATCATTCCTCGGACCTCACATACGGTCAGCGCCCAGGAAGGGCCCCACAAAGCTTCATCCTGAGCTAGTACGACTGACCATCACAATGCACAATGTATTAGAGCAGAAGAGGGTGACATGGAAGAAGTCGAGTTGATGGTGGCGGTGGAGGAAGAACAACGAGGCTCCGGCGACTCAGTCTCCTTGCAACGAGGGGAAACCGGCGTCGACGCGGTCACGCGACAGACGCGCGACGCGCGCGCGAGCGGCGCACAAAAGGGCTCGGCACATATGTCCGGAGGGCGCAGGACGTGTGGGCGTTCGACGGAGCTTAATTCGGTCGACGTTCGACTTACACCATAGCACACAAAGAGATGGCAAAATTCTTGTATGATATTTGCCTCCGCACCCCCTTCGACCAATAAACACAATGTACAGTACTCGAATCCTAAATCGTGCGCGCTCCTCTCTCTACATCCTCCCCGCCGCCTCATCGAAAGCAAAAGGAAAACTAAATGTGCAAGAACGTATGTATGTGGGGGGTTGGGGGTATCACACAACAGACAATCGGGATAGGCCCGCATTAACGCAGTCCAACGCATCGGCTGCGACGTGTATAATGCCAATAATACGAGGGACAACAGTCAAGGGTGTGGATGGAACACAGTGGATGAGCGGGAGCAGACGGGCCTAATTGCTACAATGGGGGTGAGTGCTGGCGTGGGAGGCGGCGGGAATTGAGATGAGGTCCGGGTAGGAGGTGGTAGATGCAGAGCGAACCAAGACTTGTGCGAGAGGGAGAGGAGATGCAGAGTGCAAGCGGGGCGCAACTTGGATGGAGCAAGAACAACTTGAGTTGGCAGCGCGTAAAACCCAAAGGAAAAAAATGGCAGCGCGAACGATTAGAGGTGTGTAGGGGGGAGGGGATTGCGGTGCAAGGAAGGGGAATGATAAAGAGTGACATGCCTCGTGGCGTGTATGTGACAAGGCGTAGACACAGGAATTCATGTAAAATGGTATGAGATGCGATGTAGTTTGAGTGGACAGCGTAAGTAGGTAGACAATGGAAGGAAAACGTGAGCGCGATCGTGTATTATGCGTGACTTTGTGTGGTTGAGATGAAGCGAGCGTGTACGTGCGTAGTCCTCTGCGAAAGAGGTTTTTGAACAGGGACGCTGGTCGTGAATAGGCGTAGCCTTTGGGTGGGTGTGGAGGCGCACATAACCTCAAGGCGGAACGAAGCCCCCGCAAGGCGTCGACATCGAGTGTCCCGGACTACACACCTGCGCAAGTGCATGAGCTTCGCAGCGCTATGACGGCGTACCAGGTGCAGGCGCAGCCGGACGACCGCCACGCCGCGCTGCAGGCCGTGTAGCGCCGATAGCAGGTGAACTGGGCGGCGGTCGATCCCACTCTTCGATCAGCGCGTGTCCGACACCTGGCTCGAGTTCGGTACCGTCCCGCGAGACCTTCACCTCACGGCCGTGGTTCCACGGGTTACGCAGGTGCCGTGTACGGTTGAAAGGCAAGCGGTCAGTGCGGATCCACTCGATCTTGAACGATCTACCCCAGGAATCGCCAGGATCAGCGTTTTCAGGGGCGCTCGCGGCGTCTTCAGGCGTATGGTCGCGCGATTGGAGTGGAACAGGATCAGGCCGCTCGGGCTTGAGCGCATCCCCAGCGACAGGTGTGAGCTCGCGATCCTTCTCGCTGGACTGACTTTCGGGCGACTGGGCAGTGGAGCGTACGGCGCGTGCAGGCGCTGTTGTATCGAGCTCGAATTTCGTGGCCGGCACAGATATCGCAGGCGGAATAGCCGGAACGTTGAGGCTGAGCTCGGGATGCGTGGGACCATAGGATAGGCGGTGATGAGGACGTCCAATCTCGGGCGGCGCGGATAGAGTGGCGGGGTCCGATAGCCTGGTGCGAATTGAGGATGGGCCAGCGGCTGATAGAGGGTATTTCGTGTCCTGTGCCGCCGACAAGGGTTGAGGCGACTCTTCGTAACGTCCGTCGCTGGGCGAGAGGATGTGCGTCCGCGAGGCGGAAGACGGCGGTGGGTCTCCTGAGCGCGAAGATGCCCCTTGCGGATGTGAAGCCCAGGGTATTCGGTCTCCCTGTTCATCTTGGTGCTGGATGCCGCTGGTCATACTAATTTTCGAGAACCCGATGAGCGCCTGGAAGGATCAAGGATCGATCGAACTCACCGTGCGTAGCCATAGAACTCGCCGCTCTTGTTGACGCCGAAAATCAGATAGACTTCCTTACTTGTACGGAAAGCCTGATCGAGAATACCCTCATTATGGCGTTGCGTCGCCCAAACTCCCTTCTGTACGCTGAGATCGAGATCGTACTGAGCGCACGGCCATCAGTGAACGTGTCGTTTGCATGACAATGGTTGGCGCACCTGTGTAAGCGATTTCAAGATGAAGTATCGCTGGGGGAAGTACTTCCGCAAGAAGCTGGAGTTGGAGCTACCGAACGAGCCCGAGCTGTTCGTATGCGGCGACCCTGCCTCGAATTTGCTCTCTCCATCCGATGCAGATATCACCGAGTGCCGAGATGTCACCTCCTCCTCGGGAGACGTAGCGGGCGAAGCGCCAGACGCCTCGCGCCGTCCCCGCGCACGCTGCTCCTTAACCCAACGCGCGTGCATACCCATACCGCGTTGTCCCCCGACCCCGGCTTTGAGATCGTCGGTTCGGCGCCGCACGCGGCAAACCAAGCGCGGACATCGGGGGTCCAGCGGGCGCAGCGGTTGCCCATTGAAGCGTGCAACAGCCGCCTCGAGATGAGCCGCACTCTCAAAATTGACAAAAGCGCAGTTCGAGCGGGAGATTAGGAAGATTGATGAGACACCTGCGAAGACAGGGGCGGCGGCGCTGGAGGGGCCCGGGTCGCTCGGCGGGGGCTGGTTGAAGAACTGCCATAGCTCGTTGTGGGTCGCGTCTGAGGGAACGTTGCCAGCCCACATAACCCATTCCGAGCGCTGCGCCGGCGGGTTCGGATGGTACACTTGACGTACGGGAGGCGAGTTGGCATCGACTTCTGAAGTTTCGCGCCAGGAAGCTAGATTCGCGGAGGAGCGTGACGGCGACGTCGGCGAGAGAGCTCCTTCATGTGTACTCGCCTGAGAACTGGCGAGCCGACTGTGCGAAGGTGGCGGTACCTGCGGACGTCTAGACGAAGCGGCGGCCGAGGTCGGCCCAGGCTGGGATGCACCATGCGGGGACTGATGCGCTTGCTGTTGTGACGGCTGTTGCTGTTGTTGCTGCTGCCCACCACCTCCATGTTGGCCATAGAACGGAGATTGGAACGATGGCTGCTCGAAGGACGTAGACGAGTTCGGAAGGAACCACCACGTGCCGTTTTGACCTTCGTCGACATTCGACCCGCCGTACGCCTGCCCATAGGGCGATCCCCCGAAGGATGGGTACAGGGGCGGGCTCCGACCGTATTGTGGAGGTGGAGGCTGTGGTGGCGGGTACGAATACTGCGTGCCAAACCCGTAGGTTGCGTTTGACTGGAACGAGGAGGACCGATGCGGCCGAGCACTTGACGGGTGGGGCGATAGCGGTGGTGAAGATGCGTAGATCGGCATGGACTGGGCCGCATTGCTTGTGAAGGGCATTGGCTGGCTTCCACCTTCGTACGACGGGTATATCGGCGCATGGATGACGGGCATCATGCCGCCCGATGAATAGGTGACGTGCGGGACGCCTTGTTCCATCGGGTAGCCGTATGATACGCGCGACATGGGGTAGGGCGCATATGCCGCGCGTGACCCGTACCCGGAGGGCGTCGAGACGTACGGACTTGCACCGGGAAAGGAGACGGCGTGAGGTAGAACGTGACCGTCATGCGTCGACGAGGACGAAGGGGTTGAGAACGCGTGATGAAGGTTCGGAGGGCGAGTTTGAGGCGGATGCTGCTGCTGTTGCTGCGACTGCTGTACTTGTTGTTGCTGCTGTGACAGTTGCAATGTAGACTGGTGTCTGCGCCCTTGCCCGTCCTCCTGCGCAGTTCTCTGGCCGTCGGTGCCGGATACCATGGAATCTAGAGCAGCCGCGAGCGTCGCAGACGAAAACTCGCGGTCATAAAGTGGACCTGAAATTCCAGCGTCACTAGAGCGAAGACAAGGTGGAGGCAAGTCAAGTCGACGCACGGCGCTTGCCGTCAGGCGGGTTCAAGGAATAAGGATCGTCTAGAGCACACACAGAAATGGGTTGGGTCAGAGAAAGTTTAGAGACATAACGGAACGGGTCCAAAATACGGCTGCCGCCTGGGCCCGATGGCAGATGGCAGACGGTTGCATCTCGTCGACTTGAGAAATTGGTGCCGCGGCATATGCCGACGGCGTTCCCACTCACCTGCGTTTGTGCTTGCTGCGCCAGCGCCAGCGCCTCTTCGGGAGCCTATAGGCGCGGGGAACCGTCGAGTGCCCGAAGAAGAGCTTGACGAGTAGTGTCCGGAGCTGTTACTCATGGCGTGATATATATAACAGTGTGTAAGGCTGCAGTGCATTCGGCTGCATTCAGTCTACCGCACCACCTCGCCCGAAATGGCGGAGCAGACACACCTCGTCAGTTGTGACCTTTAGAAGGATGATGTACTCCAAGAATGCAGTGCGCGTGAGCGGAGCGCTGAAAGCGGTTGATATGCGGGTAAGATTAAAGCTGCCTGACTTCAAGGCGGTCGGGAGAGGAGGATGTGCCACAGGCCACAGGAAACGCGCTGCGTAAATAGGAGGTTCTGCGGCGGCCATGACGGCTGGGTGGTGTACCGTGAGTGGCTCCACAGGCCACCGAGTAAGTCCCTGATCATGACCAGCCCCGGGCTTGGTTCGTATGTACGCTCTTGGTGCTGGTAGGTGCTCAAAGCGCGCATTTGGGCGGCAAGTCCCCAAAAACATCTGACGTCATTCTCCGGCACGCCCCGCACCGCCCGACGTCTTCGCCGCGCCTTCTGCTCATCGTTTTTCCTTCTCTCTCCGTCGTCCTGCTCGTCTCTGTAGGCGCTCTCGAAGACGCTGGAATTATACCTTGTCCCGACGTTGCTGACAGGGGCACCGACCAGCGGTCTCGACCTCGACGCGGGCGGCCGCCGCCGAGCACACGGATTTACTTGTGACAGTGACCACGTCAATTCCGTATCTCGATCCCAGGTCTTAGAGATCTCGTACTGCTGCTTTCCGCAACCGTCTGGACGATCCTGATGCGCTAAAGACGAAGAGCGTAATTATTGGGGCGCATACAGCCTGCTTCCGGGACGGCAGCATCCTACAATGGGTCCAGGTCCGATCCTGCGTAAGCCCGAGCTCACCGCGCCGCATCCGTACCACTCAGATTGTGATTGTTATGTACAAACCAATCGTACAGCATTTGAATTGTCTCATACGCGTCCATGCAGTTACTTGTGCGAGAGCCCGAGCCGCCCGGAGGCCATACGACTCGCAGCGCGCGGAATGCGCGGCGATGTCCACATCGGGGGCCACAACCACGTTCCGTTCAATTAATCGGTCACAATACCGTACACAGCTCGATAATCCGTCGGGGTATACATCCCCGAAAGACCGGCTGTGCAGGCCAAGTCGTACGAGTAGAAGGTGGTGGAAAGCGGTCGATGCTTGCAAAGTCCGAAGCACGGACGACTCAACCACTGACAGGCTGTACGGCGGGAGCTAGCGCAGTAAGTATACGATCGGCGCCGGCGATGTTGTTGGAGCATGCTCGTGTCTGTGGGAGTCGTAGCAACGCGGCTCCGCGAGGTAGTTGTTCGTGGAGCCGGTGGAGTGCCTAGGACAAGTCAGTTCGTCCGCCTGAATTCTAATCTTGTGGGTACGTACGATCTTCCAAAGCGGGGAACCAATCCCATCCCAGGGCTTCTAACGCGGCTATGTCGCCGTGAGGCTGCAGCATGTACACGCTGCAAACCCGAGAAGTATCTATAGAAGGTTCAACAGAGTTCGAGAGAGGGTGCGCTAGAATGATCATGACTACCGCGCGATGCGCTTTGCTCACGCTGCGGTTGTTGGAGATAACATCGAACAATTCAGAAAGTGCGCGTACGTTGAGGGGGCCTTCCAGTTAATGCGGCATCAGCACGAGTTCGAGAGAGCCGTTAGCGTCGGTCTCCTTCGGGGAGTCATGATAGCGTGCGGAAGCCACTCGGATGGCCGACGCGTGGGCGATTCCAGGGACTTAGAAGTGACGGCCGTTTTCTGTGGAGAGGCCATGCGAGCAACACCCAAAGATCGGGACCCAAGGTGTATCTGCGAAGAGATCTAATCTGCCACGCGCGGCGGCTTGGTTAGTGGGACCCTTCGGGAGAAGCAGGAGAACATCGCTCCCGGTGCACCCCGATAGCAGACTCTGCATGACGACGTCATATGTCCGATCACCAATCAGCCTCGCTGTGGCGCAGCCGTGCGAGCCAGCTGTAAAGCATAAACGTGACATAAGCTGTGGCTCTGCGGTTCAACAAACATGACGCAAAGGGATACAGCGTAAGGTTCGCCGCTGCAGGGTCATCATCGCGACCTGCGTGTATCAGAAGGGGTACTTTGCTAACTGAGCCCCAACACCTGTAAATGAACCTTATACGTAGACTGTGAGCCAATATATTGACACCTTTCACGCAGAGTAAAGGTTCTAGACTATATGCCTTAGTGCGCCACAACTATCAATACCAGATGCTTCTCGTGCGATGTGGGGGTAGTAGACGTTGCGTTGACAGACCCTCGATACCCTGTTCTCCGCTCTCGATGTGCTTGGCAAGGTCCCAGAGGTAGAAGTCAATTAAGACACTGCACGTCTGCACTTGTGACAGGACTCCGCCGTTACCAGTACCCTCCTTTTGTTGTAGCCTACGCATCTCTTCCGCGACACGTTCAACCGCGATGATACTACTCGCACGAATGCTGACCTCTTCCCTGCACCCGTGTTCGAGCATCACAAGACCATCCAGTTTCTCGATAAGATCACGCGGATAGATCAGCAAGCCAAGGTGGTGAAGGATCTGGGGTACCCGGTAGTCCGCGAACATCGTTAGCGATTCCGCCCCTCCGCCCGGAAAGAGTGGGTGAGCAGTAGTCGTTGGATCCCGGGGATAGAACGCCGCCCATGCTTCTGCGCTTAGTATTTGGGCGCGTTTCCATAGTTTAATGGGGCGGCTGACGCTCGGCAGTGTGCTCTCGTCGCGGAAGGAAGGAAAAGTAGAAGCGACGGCTTGAGAAAGTTTCAACGGTGTGAGGCCACCAGGCGCGTCAATAGAGTGTGCGAACGTCAAGAAAGAGCCCTGGTAGTTCTGTGCAAAGATCGGTCAGTTGGTACTGATAGTGCATCCGCGATACTGCTCACTTTTGCGAGTAAGCTTCCAACCTCGCGTAGAATTTGGATGCGTTCTTTGAGCAAAGGCATCTCCTCCTTCGAGTCTGACGCAGCACGGAAAACGTGTCGGATCAGTTCGTCCGAACAGCGTTCAGGCGAAGCGTAGAAGGAAGGATCGGTGATTGGTATACCCTCGTCCAAAGCTGCGCTCTTTCAGCCCCACTGACACATCACGGAGGGTACAGCAAGACTTGCCTCTGTCAATCGCGGCAACTAGACACCAATAGCCTGTCCATCGCGTGCGCTCGTTGGATGACCAGCCAGCTCGCCAATCAACAGCATAACGCTCCGACTCGTCCAACTCCGACCAAAAGGAGAAGTTCAGCGCTGACACGAGAAATACCCAGTTTAGGATCGGTTCCGCGCCCTCGAGCGTGCCGTTGTCCGGAGGCAGCATGTGGAGTGGGTGCGTGCGCCAGGTGCGTGGCGTGTATTGAGCCTCGCGCATCGAGTTCCTGATCTTCAGGCGTGTCGATTGATCAGGGTCCTACATAGGGTACAGACCGAGGATGGTAAACCGACATAACGAGCAGCAGCCGAAACCCCGGCTGGGTTGATGGTGACAAGCGAAGTTGCCTGGACGAGCGAGCGGGCATTGAAATGTGACCTTCTGCTCGGCCATGAGAGAAATTTACCTCCAAGGCAATCTCAGCACTGCTAACGACCGGATTCGTCTCGCCATATTCCCCAGACGTCACGGATGGTCTCGGGCGAGGCGAGACGGGCATCGAAGTCCTTAGAACGATACGGTATCTGATAGCAAGTACAGAACACGACGTGGTGGTGGACAAGGAGAAAGCAGCCCGTCGCGCTCATTTGCTCAAGTCGTCCCATGTGGCCCCCACGAGGTTTTGAGCTTCAACATCCGAGAGTTGCTGGACAGTGGACTTCCTCTTTCATCTCATCATTGTGAGTGGCCTGGCCGTTTGTCACGTTCAGAACGCAGCCGTTGACAACTCCCTACGCTGCAGCGCGCGCCATTGCAAAGAAGCACACTTGTGGCACCTTGAGTCATGTCATTGACAAGAGTTGACGTGGACCATTCGACTTTAAGCTCGGAACAGTCCAATAGCGGATCTCTGCGACCGTGCCCGGCGAGGCGTCGGTCCGCTAGTCGAGAATCGTCTAGCGGGAGTTCGCGGCGCAAGAGCTAGACTGTACGGGGGAAAGCGGAGAGCGTGTACCAGAAATTGATGTGGCGTCCCGCCATAGCCCGCCATTCTCCGTCATGAATGAGCCCGCCTCGACCAGTCCCCACACCGAAAGTCACGACGAGGCCGCCTTCACGAGTCTGATGCACATGTGCTACGTGGGACGCTCAATACGAGCTTCACTCATCCGTCGCTGCGTGGGCTCGCGCGAAGGCTCTCGCGCGTCCAAGACTTTGCTCCTATATTGGCCTTAGGCTAGATTCGACGTCACGACTCTTCGGCTCTCCTTGTCATGGGGTCAATTCCCCCTGGCTCATAGTCTTATAAGCCATGAAACAACGCCAGCATCCCCAACACTATCTCCCCACATCTTCCCCTCCACAAAACGGCTCTGCACACTTTCTTCGCCTTCTTGCGCCCTCAGACGCATTCCATTGTCCAGCCCCCGGACAAGATCAGCCAAATGTCTGGTGTCAATGACTACAGTACCACCCAGGCCGGCGGCGGCGTCAGCAATGGTGCTTGATCAAACCATATCTACTTGACACGAAGATCTGATACCTGACTATAGATCCCAATTCCGATATAACCACCTCCGCTCGCGATGACCGCGCTGATGAACACGGCTCGACCTCCGCTGCTGGCCCCTCTCCTGCCCATGGACGCTCGGGTTATGGGCAAGGTTCGACCGGCGGTGGTGATTTTCTCGACGATCCAGCGTTAGCACAATCGTATGACGACGATTACTATGGCGAGCCTGGCTACGGTACAGGTCGTCCCGATACTGGTGGCCCGATGGGAGGGATGGACACTACCAGCGGGCTCGATCGTCGCGGTCTGTTAAAGATGGGTCTTGCTGCAGGTGTGGGTGGACGCAGTTCTGACGGGACCGATCCTCCCGCGAAACATGAATCGGGATACGGGACGGGAACACCTGACGAGGGCGGCCCCCCTGGCGGCCTGGATACCGTGAGCGGAGTGAATCGTCGGGGCGAGATCATAACGGGTCTTGGGTGAGCATGTGCCACTCTTCTCGCTGAGTGACGGCTCTACTCACTGTGCGCATACAGCCCTGGTCCTGGTGGGCGAATCAGTCGGCCTCACAAGGCGACCATGATGGAGAAGCTGCGCGGCACGACTGAGCAGGTGGCCGGTAAAATGACGGGGAATACTGAGTTGACCAATCGCGGTGGCGAACGCAAGGTGAGTACCTAGTATCTCACTGATTGTTCATCGCGCTAATATCTCTTAAGCGCGGCGAATTGTGAAGAGTCGTCTACTTGTGGCCGCAAGCTCGAGCTTGGCAACACTCGGTGATCCTTATCCCACATTTCTATCCCATGTCGAGCGACATGCAGAAGTATCCTATGCTGTTATCGATATGCTTGTAATACCGTCTGGTTGTGACTGTGTATACTACCTATGAAACTTTGGTGCCTGTTGGGACCCGGCGGCCTGCCACAACTGAGTGTCGTTCTATAGCCTTTGCTATCTACGTTTGAGTGGTGCTTCGTAATCTATTGCGATATGACTTGACCTACCTCCCGCCTCGATCTACTGAGTTGACCATCTAGTCTTCCTGCTTCCCAGGTAATCAGTAACTAGGCCATGCTCACAAGACGGCAAACATCAAGCAGACTGGATGTTGTCCGATAGTCTCCTGATCAAAGTCTTCGCCAGGTCATCTTTCATCGAGGCGAATCAGGCATCACTCATCACTTGATCCTTTAGCGACCAGGTATTTACATATCGAAACGACGACTGCAGCAGACGTGGCGCATCCCACCTTACAAAAGCTATGTCAATGACAGGCACGGATGCTCTTCGCTCCTCCCTGGATCATCACGAGCGAAGTATACGAAGCGTCTCCGCGAATCTTCGTCGCTCGAAGATGTAGCTGGGGTACGGGGTATCAGTCAGAGTCAAGGTATAGATGACAGTAGGAAAGCACGAACCAAGAGAGCAAGCATAGTACTCCAGTTGTTCCCCCCACAGCTATGTGCGCTCTCTGGGCCAGAAGCGTTGGTGGAAGGTCTGAGTGCCTGAGAGCACTTGCGCGGACGATGGCGGCGGCCGCGGCGAACGCGCCCATGACTTGTACGGGAGGCAGGGCATCCGATAAAGTGATTGCGCCAACTAAACCTTTCTCCTTGAAGAACCTTCGCGCGAATACCCACGCATACGCCGCGCGTAGTCCGAGGTTAGCCACATTGGCCCAGATAAGACCAACGTCGCCCATGCCAAACGTCTGAGAAAGGACAAAGGAAGCCACGACAAAGCCGGCGGATGCGGCCATCATCATCCTGCTCTGGCCTTGTAGGTCTCTCGGCGTGCACGCAGAGGAGAAGAACGCCTCCAGTACGCCGTTGAAAGCCATGGTCGGGATGTAATAAATGTACGCCCCGAGTATTTGTGGCGCTGAGGTTTGACGATACCTTGGTGGTAGTAGGACGCCTGTGACGATTGGAAGATACGGCGGTGCAAAGGCCGCCAAAAAGAGGAGCAGATGCGAGAAGACAAGTAAGAGCGTCATCAGTAAGCGCGATGCCGTGCGATAAACATCCTGATCTTTGTCCTCGTTTCTCTTCCCGTCTACAGACGCCAGATACTTCGAGAAGAAGACTCTGGACATCTCCTCTACAGGTTGGAAGACTATACGAGCGACGAGAGATCCTAGGCTACCTCAGCACCGGCACAAACTGCACGAGTCAAGCGACTGACCGTAGTTAGATGCTATTGCATAGCCACCCTGGTCCTCCAACGGGCTTAGGCGCGACACCAGGAACTTGTCGCCTTCTGTCAAGAAGTGCTTAATAACGGATTGGGTGGTCATGGACTTCGAGAGTCGCATGAGTTCGGGATCAAAGCGTGGACCAGAGCTTCTGCGAGGCAATCAGGAGAGAGCATATTCACTGTGGCTCACACATACCCATCTTCCGAGCCTTTCGCAATGGGTTTCAACTTTAGATGGCCAGTCACGCCATATACCGAAGCGAAAGTGGCGAACGTGGCCAGTCCATAGCCCATCTGCCCGGCGGCGAATGCGAGAAGTGCCCAGTCAGGCGGCCCGAAGGCCAGAACAACGAAAGTGAACACAGTCTTGAGGAACACTGCGAGTCCTTCGGCGCGTATCCGGATATTGAATCGTAGCTCGTTTTGGGCCCGGACATATAGTGGCTCAGATAATAGCTCCACAGACGCGGCAACAGCATAAACCAGTACGCTGGGCGTGAAGAATGGTTGATTTCGGGTGGACTCGGAGCTCATACATATGTATATGCATGACAGCAGGAATGCTGATGGTATACCGAAGTAGACTGGGAGAATTGAGATGTTGTCGATTTGCTTGCTGGTCGATGGCTTGGAAGCGCTACGTAGTAAAGCGTTGCGAACACCCTCACGGCTGAGAAATAGAATGGTCGACAGTAGTAGCTCAAACTGTATAGCTGCAGTACCAAAAGTTTTGGGAGAGGCAAGGCGTACGAGAGCCTGATTCAGAGCGAATGTGAAGATGCGAGATGCGGCCTGCAGAACGACGAGTGAGGATGCAGAGCCTAATGATGCCGACAGCAGAGAAGTTCCTGCGATAGGCACCTCTTCCATGCTGCTCTGACCGGCGAATTGAGTGTGAGGCGAAGTGGATTGGCAGGCGCAATGGTGGCGGGAGGCAGCGTACGTGGTCGAAGTGACGCTTAGCGATTGATCCAACCCTAATTTAGGGCGCCGTCGCTTCCCTATAATAGCACTCACTGCGGCCGTTTGAGTGCCCAACCGCCGGCACACGGCGAAGGCTTTCTCAGATTCACACAAAAGATTTCAGAACGTCGTCATATGTAGCGCGGTAATCAACGATATTATCCACTACTCGCACAATAACTCCCTACAAACGCCGCGTCTACTTGTCGCTAGTTTTGCCAACGATGTTCATAGCCTGTATATAGAGTAAGCTTGGTGTCAACAAGCAGGGCCGGATATACACACCTGATAAGTGGTCTCCTTGCCGGTGTTCTCATTGCGGATGGTGTACTTGTCCTGGACTAGCGTCAAAAGAATGTTCGCGAGGAGACGTTGAAGTAACGTACGACACCTTCTTCTTGAACCGTCCCCGTGATGGTGCCGACCGAGTGCGCGACGTTGTCGCTCGAACCTAACGGAAGAATTCAGTTCCGAGAGTGAAATAACAGGAGCGCAGACGCATACCACCGATCGGGCGGTACTCGACGCGGTCACCCTTCTTGTAGTCGGACATGGTAGTGTATGAGTTGGGGGTTGGATGCGTTAGTGGTAAGTGAATAGGAAAGCTGCATACAGTGGGTACCGGTCGGCAACTTATATACGCGAGCGCTTATGTCTGGAGCGATCCGGCGCAGACGCAGACGTCGCTGTCAGGGCTCGCATATCATCGACGTCGGGCGTAGCATTGACGCCATCCTTGACATACACATAGTGCTCATGGTCCGGCCCCTCCTGTCACTGCACGAAGTTAGCACGAAAGCCAGTTCACCAGCATGAACCATGCCCTCGGGTTTGATGTGGACCGCCTACTCAAGTTATCGTATGTTCATATTTAAAAATCCCGATGACTCTGGGAGGGAAGCCGGTGGCGGACACGATCACGGGGACTGAGAGGAAACGCTTCGACCGTCAATTGCATCATAGGTGGCCTGCATCGTAGGTCCCAACGTCAAGCTGGCCCCCAACTGATAGGAGAACTGGGGCGCAAAGACATCATATATACTTATGCGGTTGATGGAAGCGACGCACAACGTGTGGGAAGCACACTTCTTCGCCAACGCTAAGTATATGAGTCATAAACGTGAAGAGGGCCCTTTCTACGCTCCGTGTGGCGTTGTGCACATCACTCGAATGTAAGCTGTCGTTCATTTGCCGGATTTTGAGTGCGCGGCCTACATTCGCACGGGAGGAAGTGGCGGGCATACGTCGTAGTCAATAGATCGCGGCGTTCTTGAGAAGCCGCGCCCGGCGTTGTTCACGCGTTTCGTCAGCACATCTTCGGTCTTCTTTGACCTCGATGCAATACTGGGACATGACGATGATGGGTGTGGCGATGCCCTTCGACTCGAAGAACCGTCTACCCAGACAAGCCCGGGCGCCTTTTTGCGAAGTACCGTGCCGACGTTAAGGAATGGGATAGCCTCTTGATAGCGTTTTGTTTGGAGGAGTTGATGGGTCTACGAGCGTCGTGAATCCCCATAGGCTCTTATGAGAATCATTTAGTAATTCCCTCCAAAGCCGAAAGCGATGTATGCATCCAACGGACGCGACGACCCGATGGTGCTTGAGCCTCAGGCGAGTTGTTTAAGTATAGTAGAGCCACAGCGGTGGACACGAGAAGGCGCGCAGAATCCATCCTCTACACGCCAACGCGCACCGCAATCCGTTGAGGTGACAGAGCTTGCCGTCTTCAGGTCGACTACACTGGCAGAGCCGGATATGTCGAAGTCATGCCAGTGTGACCGAGTTTCGTTGAGCGGGAACGGCGGATCACTAAATGTCACCGCTCAGACTGACCAAACGCATAGCAGAGATCCAGAAGAAGAACTCCATGTACACAACAGAGAGTCGCCTAAGTAGTATCTTCCGTATGATGAAGCTCTCGACCTCCATGGGGTTGCCATGAGGTTCGGGCGCGAAGTCGACGTCCACCATCACAAGAAAGAGCGATTTGATGAACACGCGCTCACGTGGCTATGCGGCTGAGTAAGCAGCAAACTCTGGATCACACACGCTACCGAGCTCGCCAACCACCGATATACGGCCGGCCTTCATTCAATGGGAAGGAGTGCTGAGCTCATGAACATGACAATTCATCCAAAATAAATACAAGTACATCGCAGATATCTATGTTCCGCTCACTATACAGTTCTACGCAGATTCTTGCGCGCGAGATCACGAATGACTAGTGTACGAGCGCTGCACGTCCACCGCCGTGCGAGGCACCCGCATCTTCCCTCAGCAGAAGCACACAAGCGCCCGAGAGTCCGAAGACAACTATGCTCGTGTAGACAGGGAACGAGAGGTCTATCATGAATAGCATGCCGCCAAGCACAGGTGCTATCATCCCGCCACTATACGGATTGTGAGTGAAGAAGTCATGAGTCATAAGAGGGGGCACTCACATCCTGGATAGCGCAGATGCTGCACCGCATGCTGTACCGCGGACTTTTGTGGAGAAAATCTCCGGTGTCCAGCCGTAAAGCACGGCCCACATCGTCTACATGCGTGTGAGCATGAGCCCGCTTGGAGATGGGGTATGTTCTCACTGTCGCACTCAGACTGATGCCTACGGTGCTGGCTGTAATGGCAAACTGGCCTTCAACCATGATGAATACGACGCAGAACACAGCAGTAATGAATGTGCTGCCGGCAAGTGACAATCTACGCCCGAGAGGCGACTCGATCAACCAAGCACCAAGCTAAAGGAAATCAGCCTCTAAGTAAGCACGTAGGAGCCGACGGACGAACCACAGCACCCGGGCAACCTCCTAAGGTGAAGATCACCACATCCCATAGCGTCTCTTCAAGGCTTTGAGGTTCGGGGCCTTTTGACGTGCGCGCCTCCAAGAGTTTGGGGAGGTACACATTGAACATCGTGTACGCTGCACAAGGTCATTTAGTAACTGGGATCAAAGAATCGAGACGCAAAGAGGGCGCACCAAGAGACATGCCGAACCAAGCACCCCATACCGCCAGCGTTGTACGGATCCATTCTGGAGACAATACCATCGCGAAACGGTCCAACCAGGCACCCAGCGGTTTTCGTATCGAACGTGGTAGGCGCCACCACACCTTCGCCTTCGCCTCCTCGAAAGTTGAGTATACAGACGCACTGGTTGGCATTCGGGAATGAGCGGGTCGGGAGGGGCGTCGTGATGGTGGACGGTCCAGAGCCGGTGTTTCAGGCGCATCTCCCAACTCTTTGAAGGTGTCCACCTCGGGGGTTGCGATGTCCGACAATGTACGTGGTAGCCCGCGTAAAGATGAGGTCGGCGTCCTGAAGACATGCCCGCGCAACCCGGTTTCGGACTCGCCGGTCGCGTGGTAGTGGTCTGGAGGTGTGGGTTGACGAGCGGGTACGCCGGATGATGAACTGGCCCGGGAGTTGCCCCGTTCGGGAGAACCTGATTGTGCATCGGCATCAAACAAAGGCGTATTCTCTTCATGCGTCGAATCCTGCGGTGCGCGCTCAACAGGATCGTGATGATCTATCACGTCCTCCAGATCCAGCTCGAGTTCAGAGCCATTGAAGCGGGAGATCAACTGCAAAGACTCGATTGCAGCTTGGGGTCGTCCCGCATGTACGAGATATCGAGGGGATTCGTGAAGGCGAAAGAATACCATCCTTGCGCAGAACATGGTAAGCGTCTATGAATCGTCAGAACGCGTGTGCCATGGGATGAGACACGTTGACATACGATGGCGCCGAGGGCCATGAGTTCGTATCTCCAGCCTTGGTTGTCGGCGGGATCGCATACTGCAGGCGCTGCGAGACAGGAATGCTGGGGTATAATTGCTATCGCTACAAGGGCGGCGAGAACGGCGCCGAAGGAGAAGAATACAGACAGGGCGGTGACGAGATATTCCTTGCCGCGAGGCATGTGCTCGAGGAGGAGGGTGCCGTCCGTGGGCATGGAACCCTATTTGGCAAGTTCAGCGCCACAGCCATCATTGGGTCACACGGAAAGAGCACGCACGCCGACGGCACTCCCAAGAAGGAAGAGTGCGATGCATAGTAGGGGAAAGGTCGTTGCCAAGCCTGCCAGTATCCCAAATACAGACGTGAAAAACAGAGTCGCGTTGAACGCAGTACTCCGCCCCAGGACGTCCGAGCCTGCCCGAGGATGCATTAGTAGTGAAGGTAATGAAAGGCCACGGCTGAGTACGCACATGTTCCCCAGCCAATGGCGCCAAACATCATCCCTGCGAACATGGCTGAAGAGACCACGCCGATGTAATTGTCCGGAACCGAGTAGTGCTGCTGCACGCGGGGAAGGATTATCGCCACAGCTTGGATCCACATCTAGCGGGCACATCGGCGCCAAAGTACCGAGAGAGCGAGAGACATACGCACGTTGTCCGCCATCCAGCCTTGTCATTCGTCGTGTAAGTCTTCGAGAATACGCTTCCCGGTGACACTACGCACCAAAACCGCATAGCGAGAGCAGCGTCCACTGATACGTGCCTGCGCCTCCAGGTTTGCTAATATATTGAGCTGTCATGAATATCTGCACGCACCCATGCCGATACGGTCTATGGTCCTGTCCAAGGGCGTGCGACCGTCATCGAGGACTTCATCGCCGAGGCGCTCGGTGTCCTCGGCGCCGTCATTGTCGTCGAAGTAACCGCTCATCCTAAGCGAGCCCTCCCAGAGACCTGAAGCGCGAGGGGTGACGACCATCGCAGATCTAGAGCCGTGCTTATGTGTAATCTCGCGGGAGGATGAGGCGATTGGTTGACCAGAAGGTGCATTCGGGCTCCAGTGGGAGGCAGTGATGGGATTCGGCAAGCGCGCGCTCGGCTTAGTCGTAAGCTGACAGAAGTTGACTTTGTTACGACGATCATCATGGAACAGATAACAGCCGCTTCCCAGTTCCTCCTCCAGTCCCCGCCCGGCCAAATCAACGACGTCCTGAACGGTACGTGTAATGCGGAGATACGCAAGCGGCGCGCGTGTTAATTCCGTCCAGATGTCCGCAACATCATCGGCGACGACGAGGCGCTTCAAGAGGGCATCCTCCCGGTGCTGGTAGAGTATAACCTCGCGCAGTTCATCGAAGCAGATGTGCCCGGCACCGAGCACAACGTGCGTATCCACCGCTCCCGGTCTACCCACATCATCTGACCTCCTCACCAGGCCATTGTCAGTGAGGCAGCGAAGCTGCCCGGGGAGGAAGACCGGTTCGTGGACCCGAGATCCAAAACCAGTTACAGATTCGACCACATAGCATTGGTATGTTTCAGCTGTCACACTTGCCTGTACGCCAGACTCATGTCAAGTCTCCAAGGAAGCATCCGACTCTCAGAACTGGGAGCCCGACGAGGAGTCGGAACCCTTCCGGTGCGTGCTATGTATCTTCGATCGGCGTGCCATGAAACTGACAACAGTATAGCTCCGCCCTTGAGACTGCCGCCTTGAAGTATTTGGACTCGCACTATCGGGACGGGACTGTGTCTACATTCGCCACAGCTGGCTCTTCATCTCGCTTTACCATCCAGATCGTTGCCAATAAATATAACCCGAACAATTACTGGTAGGTCTCCAGACCGAGTCCTCCGAGCGAGCGCTGAGCGCTTACAGGTCCGGGCGGTGGAGATCAGAGTATATCGTAGACTTGGCCGCAAACAGTGTGACCGGGCTCATTCTCGTCAACGTGCATTACTACGAGAATGGCAACGTCCAGCTGGAGACCAAGCACGACGGCAGCCTTGCACTCCCTCCAGCTATCAACACCACCTCTCCTACGCCATCCGCGACGAAAATCCTCGCTCTGATTCAGGAGTTCGAGGGAGCCTACCAGAACTCTCTCGCTGATACATACCACGACATGAGCGAGAAGTCCTTCAAGTCCTTACGCCGCGCTTTACCGCTCACTCGCCAGAAGTTGGACTGGGATAGGGTGCGTTTCATCTTATCAATATGGCTGGATGATCGCATTGACTTCGTACAGGTGCTTGGGTACAAGCTTGGGCAGGAGTTGTCAGGCGCAAAGATCGGCTCATCATGACGCGGACGAATGCATTTGCAAAATCTTGTACAGTACACGGACTCAATACTCATACATCGGAGCACAGGATTGATTGCTACATCTATCTCATTGAACCTGTCAGCGTCGCGAGCGTGATACGCTCGCCCACTCTTGCTGGTTTCCCGTGTGCATCGCAGCCAAGGACCTTCTGCCACATCTCAACAACACCATCCTCCTCGCAGCCGACCTGCATGCCGTTATCGCGAAGGATGAAATACTCGCGAGCTGGTGTTTGTATGATGGCAAGAGCAGGATGAAGAGACTGGTCACCAATTGCGGTGAAGTGCACGCTTTCGACGTGGTGGTGACTGCATGCGTTTAGTGCATGAATCCCCAGATAGATGCATGTGCTCACGCAGGAAGGAACAAACCAAGAGTTTGCTTGGAGCTCTTCTTCTTGGTCGTTTGTATGGATTGAACTGGGCCCGACAACCCTTGCGCCATTTCCGTTGTCGACATCCAGGCACCGCTCACGCTGTCACAGATAATGAGGATGCGGCTCTAACGCACCGGAACGTAAATGGCACTCACCTATTGGAGATTACACATGCAAGTGTATATCTCTCGCCCACAGCTCGCAGCGCAACGCCCGACTCGCTCATATGTCTCGTTCGGGAAATCCAGTGTCTACTCAAACCGCGCTCATACTCTTCGTTGTGGGCCCAGCGCATGCTCTGTAATAGCGGCTTTCCATCACCCAGGGCCGCTGTATGATCCATCCAGTCTGCACGCATGGTGGGTACGGCGCCGTCACAGCCGGGTGGGTGGCCAATAACTTCGCAAGTAGCCTCGAGAACATAGAACGACTCGCAAGTGGACGTCGTGATCTGCCAAATCTCACCCGGTACGATCTCCTGAGCGCCGACCACGGTTGAGCGTAACCATGCCAGTGGGTCACCACCGGCGTTTGCGAGGGCACCGATGGACAGAGTGAACCAAAGCCGTGTTTGGAGGAAGCTGGACGGCGCTTCTCAGAGAAGCAGTGATGAGACGGACGGGGTGACGTACCGGAAGGCGACGGTCAGCTGTTTGGGGTTATCCGGACTCCCAAGCAGGCGCTCCGAGACTGGGCACGATCCATAGAACCTCGAAAGGAAGGACGACCCATACGCTCGCGATCGCTCGAGCTTCTCGCGTTCGCGTTCGCGAAGGTATGGCCACCAGTTAGTCGTAGGCGCTGGGTGAAGATTGCGCGCTTGGTCCAATCTTGAGCCGGCGTACTCGCGTGAGAGTATCTCGCTTGCAGACAGGTATACTGCACCTTGTTGTCAAGGACGGGACTGAGTGTGAATATGGGTAGCGGACATGAACGTACCCGCGTAACGGAACATGCGCGAGACGCGTGCACACGTTCGGCGTTCCCCATTCGAGAGACCGCTGAGGACGATCGCCCAGCGACGAACAATCTTTCGTTGCGAAATGGATGGGGGAAGTGTTATGTTGCTTAGAGACGTGGGACTAATGAAGAGAGTAAAATCGAGATGTGCGAGAGCAGTTCTCGCTTTGAGAGCGTTGGCTTCTGTAGCGAAGGGCTTCTGGATAGATTGTAGCGCTACTGTCCTTTGAGCTACCGGCCGGGAAACTGCCAGAGGTTTGAATCTTTTGCCGGACCGCTCGTTGGAGTGATGAGTATCATGTTTACTGGTATACGAACCAAGGACCTGTTCGTCGTTCCGTGAAGGGTTCAAGGAGGAAGCAGGCGCAAGCGCAGATGGCCGGGATCGCGGCCGGGCCGGCACCATGGAAAAGTCGGAATCATGCGCGCGCTTGCTTGATACGGGCTTTGGGACGGGGTGCTGGGCAGTGGCGGGAGAAGACGTAGTGAAAGGGACGGGAGGAACCTTGAATACGTTTTCTTTCGGTATTGTGGGAACCGCGGCGATAGGTGGGCGAGGCGTGTCGGAATGTGCTGCAATAGGCCTTGCCTTTGCTGAAAAAGACGCCGCGCCAGATAGAATGACGTTTGTGGCTGTTTCTGAGGCGATCTGATCCTTCGCCGTATCGTCACCAAAGCCCATCGGAGAGGGAGATGAAGGCCGTCCAGGGTGAGGCGACGCTGCGCTGTTCGGTAAGGGGATGCCCTGTCATATGGAGAGACTATCTCACTGGTAGGTCGGATACGGCTACTATTATCTGATTGAGACATCGAGCTTGGTTGTATGAGTACTGATCCATAGGTGAGCGCATGAATGCGAGCAACTGGTGTGACACCAACATGGCCTACCATTCTCGGTTGAGCCAGATACGAGTTCGGTCGCTGCTGATCCGGATGGCGGAGATGACTCGCTTATACTGGATGGAGGTGCGCAGGACGTAATGTCGGAGGATGATGTTTTTTCGGCCGGCGCAGCGTGCGAGACTGCCTGAGCGTTGGCAGCTAGCTTGTCGAGCAACGCCTGCCGATTGAGCTTCGAGTACCCATTAAGGCGTTTTTCCTTGCACAAGGCCTTTAGTTGAGGTACAGTGAACTTTGTGAGATCCATGTGAGTCAGCTATGAGGGTCAGAGGAGAGTGCAGCGCCGCTATAACGCGCCTGGGATTCTCGAAGTCAGGTGATCGCGAGCGACCGCTCATCGTTTTGTAACGCGCGTAAATTGGTGTGGGCTGCGCTCTTCCGACGACAGTTGCTCGACGTCTATGGTCTGATTGAAGACCGATCTCAATTGCCCAATTGCAGTGACAGCGCTCAAGCGGCGACCTGGGCTGTATTGCAAACCTCGCCTTGACCTTTTCTGATCTCCCCTTCACGACGTCGCCGCGCCGCTTAGCCACAAAAATGGAGCACATCGACGGGCACGGGATGCGGATCCGACAGATTTGACGAGCAGCAGGATAGCGGCCGGCGCCGTCTGCGCCCGACAACAGCTGTGCGGCCCAGTATGGAGGATGTAGTGCTTTCCTGAAAAACAGATGTCTGCCACCGAAAGCCTTGATACCCGTTGGGTGGCGGGATCGACATATCGACCGACCTACTGTGCGCTCATGTGCGTAGGCTGACGCCTCGAACCCTCAGGTGCACCGACCGAGCGTGGTGAGAACAAAGGGGTCGCCGTATCGGGTGCACCGCTTCGAGGCAAGCCGAGCCGTGACGATGGCGGGGATGAATGCATGCGCGTCTGGCTGCGAAAGTTCCAAACCTTCTTCTCGTCAGAGGCATATAAAGATGACCGAACGTTTCAAACAACTACATACTCCGTCCCCGCCACCCTTACAGTAGCACGACGAGCTTGAGCTCTGGCTCGCTGCGTTATTGTCGTTATTGTCGGTGCGTACTGCTATCATGTGTACCGTTTTGAGTTCTCTCTCACGAGGCACACCGCTGCAGTACCGTCACCGCTTCCTGGCGCAGTTCTTCTCCACCCTACTTTCTCATGCAGAACCTCTTGGAAACGCACCAGGAGCTGAAGCAATCAGCCTCTGTGTACTCTCTACCTCCCGAAATACTGGGCCGTGTCTTCGAATTCTTAGTTGACATTGAACCGCCGCGGTCTTCAGCTCTCCACAGCCGTCATCGCTCAGCATCTGCAGGCAGTTTGCGCCCTGCAAATCCGATTTCTACGCGTGCCAGACGCAATACGGTGTTTGCTCCGGTCGCTCCGGACAAATTGGGTTGGCTTCGAGTCACGCATGTCAGCCGCTACCTTCGAGCGGCAGCTTTGGCATATCCAGCTTTATGGGATACAATACCGTTTTCTTTGGGAGAAAACTGGGCTCGCCTCGCTTTGCAACGTTCGCAGAATACCGGGCTCGTTGTTCGCCATGCGATCTATCCTGGGACGCGGGGATCTGACGTCCTTACACATACCAACTTCCTCGCGGAAGTCCTCGATCGTGTGCGGGTAGTCGAGCTGAGTGGAGCGCAGGAGACGCTGAGCGCTGTCCTCACCCGACTACGGAAGCCAGCGGCGCAATTAGAAGTTCTCTCGATGCAGGCAGACCGCGCCTCAGGCCCAAACGAAGACTGGCCCTTCACGATACCACGCTCGTTGTTTCAGGTCGACGCGCCGGGCATTCGCGAACTCCGGCTTGACGGCGTCTTCATCTCCGCCTTGCCACCTCATATACCATCGCTCACCCATCTGTCCATCTGCTTGCGTCAGTCCAGGCGCGAATATCCCCGCACTCGCGATGTCTATGGCACGCTGCGCATCGCGCCCAATCTTCGCACCCTCGTGTTGAAGCATTGCCTGCCTCAGGGCGAAGTCCGCGACCTTGGCCCAGTTTCCTTACCCGCGTTACGGAGCTTGGAGCTCGTGGATGCGGACTCTGCAATCACTCGCTTTATGGACGTCGCAGTATTCCCCTCGACCACCACCCTGGACGTTCAGTGCTCCATGATCAGCAAGCCTGAAGAGGACGAGTCGGACCGCGCGCAGTCGCTCATCGTGTCTTGCGTCTCACGCTGGTCATGTCCGTACTCGATGGTTTTTGCTAGCGAAGGGCGCGGACTCGAAGTTTCGTTGTCAGACGGTGCAACAGCAAAACCGGGCGTTTACCTTTTCATTTTACCCTCCGGTCAACCAGCTTGGGATTACCAACGGCTCGTGCAGGCTGTTGGAGACGCCATTCCAACCCCATCGCTGCAAAACTTGGAATTGCGCTTTCCCGTCGCGCCATCTAGCGCGAGTTCTGCCTTCAAGGAGCTGCCCGAGATGATATTAAGCACGTTCGATCGTTTTGACGACGTACGGAGCCTCAATGTCACCGGTTCTCTGGGCTGGTCAGCGTGCACCGCCCTTATCGCCGGCCCATCTACGGCCTTCTTCCCTCGATTGCAGGAGCTTACACTTGCGGAAGTGGACTTCTTCGAGCCTGTCTACCTGGATACTACACTGGAGACGCTTGCGCGATCCCGCAAAGGTGAACTTAAGAAGCTACGATTAGTGGGATGCGAGAATCTGGGGCGGGAGCGGCTTATCACAGAGTTACAGACTTTATTGAGCGTCGAAGTGCTTGAAGCCGAACTGCCTTTGGTAGTTGTAGACTCTTGAATACTTGAATACTTTCGAGTCGCTGTAATATAGCTGTATCAGATATTTTTGCAGGGCGTATTTTATGGGTGTTTATATGTACATTTAGCTCTTCAGACGATGATCATCAGCGGTCTTTGTTCGTGCACTGGTTTAGTAACCCACGTGATCGCGATTAGCGTGGCAATATGAACTCGCGGGCACTCGGCGGCATTGCTTTCGTGCTTGCCTCTTGCCAGCATCTGCCTATCGCTAATGGACACGCAGACTATACCTCGCCGATTAGAAGGCTGTTGCGCTGCTCGCGAAAAATGCATAGCTAATAGTATTGGTGACCAGGTAGCAATCATACAATGCATGAAATGCAAGAGAAACTGGCACCTCCGTACGTGATGCTCCCTTTATCTGGCCAGCGCCTACGGCGGCACCCGACCGGGCTATTACACTTGGTTCACGACAAAGGGAAATGGCTCTTCCGTTACTAAGCCACGACTTGACGAACTTTCTCTTACCAACCATAGGTTGTCGTGCGGATGGGCAGGCACTGTGGAAGAAACGGCACGAGGCGTTCTATCGATATTGGGCCTGCTCCAGGGATTCGTGCCGCGTAAGTCGTCATACTTCATTAGATGAAGCATGTGGTGTCTAAAGTTTTCTCTGCCTTTAGACGGAAGTCGAGAGGCTGAAAGCCATGGCTATGGCTGAATCCGAAGCCATCGATGTTATAGACTCGGATTCGGACGAGATACAGATCACTGGCGAAAAGGCTCCGCCGCATATGTTACAGATAGGAGTAGGGCAGGACGTGGCACTTCCATCTAACCTGGATGAGGAAGAGCTGTATGGATCTACTTCTAGTCTTCCTCGTCAATCCCAGACTACATCGCTCAGTCGCAACCACAATCCTGGATCACGATCTCGTAGCACGTTAGCCTCGCATCTATACACTTATCTTGTATGTTCCGCCTGCTCCACAGTATTCATCAAATCCATCAACAGAGAGTTGCTCACGATTCTTTCAGCCACACGACCACGGTTCTACCCAAGCACACACCGCCCCTCGAATCAATCCTACGCAACCAGAAGCTGGTCCTTCATCATCTCGTCCCGATCAGATCTTGATGAAGGCCCCTACTGCGTTTCTTGACGAAGAGCCTATTGCTGAAGTTATCCCAGGCCTGGTGGGCAGGGATGCGCCACCGCACGTCATTAGTTCAGACAGCGACAGCGACAACGACGTCCCCCTCTCTGATACTCTCAGCTTACGCGGATCAGATCAGAACATAAGAACGCACATCGACAACAGGCAAACAATTGGTTCGTGGGAGTCGCCACGATCAGAGAGGCCTGCATTTCTGTCGCATGCACGACAGCCTGCTCCGCCACCATCGTCTACACATGGGACGTCCTTGCCTCCTCCTCAGCCGCCGCATCATGTCACGTTTCAGCGGTCCCCTCCTCCTCCGCTCCCGCGCCCTCTAAGGCGTCGTTCATTCCGTGACCAAGCTATCGCGCCGCGGCGGTCTATCCCGCATCCTAGGACTCCCCCTTCACCCACACCTATGAATCCCCCTACTCCCTCTCCTTCGCCTACTACCCGCACACGTTCGCCGACACCCCTCGATACGTCAATCAAAGAGGCTTTGATACGCGCTCATCAGGATGGTATTCGTTCCAAAACCCGCTCAGGGCCTCCCGGGCCTTTGGGTATAGGAAACGCAAATACTCTACCTGATGCAGATGTCGAGATGGATGATCAGTACGTATATTTCGCTCGATGAGCTACGTGCCTGTATTCACCAATTATCCCTAGCGCATCGAATCGTGCTCCTCCGAAACCGGCGACACCAGCAACCTCGCGTGTCACAGAACAGCATCCCGCACGGCAGCCTCCGATGTCGGATGCACATGACCGGATGCTAAACTACCGTTCAATGCTGGAAGACGACTCTTCTAGCTCAGACGGCGAGCTCGGGGCATGGGCACGCCATCCGTACGACGGCGGACGCCCTTCCGGAGGAGCGTTCTCGTTGGCCCAGCTCTATCGAGACGACACACTCCCACGACAGAACGCGCGTCAATCGTTGCCGCGTGGGCGAGGTGGGCGGAGCAACCTCTTTACACCGCCTGTTGCGCGGACGAGGGGTACAGGCGTAGGCCGTGGTACCGGTGTGCGAGGTCCGCCGCCTCAGGCTCGCGCTTCGCGTGATACAGACCGCGGTCCAGCAGTTGCTGGGATAAAACGACGAAGATTGCCTAGTCCTGTTGCGGGACCCTCGAGAGCTCTTTCTCCTCCAGATGATCTGACAGACAGCGAGGAAGAAGACCGTGCTCCTCGCAGACCTCGCCCCAGGCCGGTGAAACGACGCGCAGCGCCTAACGCGATCGAGGACGAACCGAAAGAAGACGACATGCAGTCCGACACTCTGACTCCATCCCTGGACAACTTAAACTTGTATACGTCACACTATCCCTCCGACTCGCCGTCTTCTGCTGAAGTAAGCGATGGTGGTCACGACCGCAACGGCAAGAAACCCGCGAATTCGCCCGGCGGTCGAAGCCGGGATACATTCTCAACGTCGTTCTCCAGTCTCAATTTGAACAGCACGCCCAGACGTCCACATGTGTTCTCCGCGAAGCGCATGTCTGCTGTTCTTCCTCCACCTACACCGAAGACTTCATCGAAGCGCAAACACAGCCCACTGCGCACGCGGACATTCGAGGAGATAAGGACGAAGATAATGCCAGGCAGACTCCCCAAGTGGGAACAACTACCGCTCGGTGCGCCACAAGAATACAAGGATGCGCGGGATCTTGAGGAAGAGTTCTTGCCGACCATCGTGAGGTGTCATGATAGAATGCTAAGATGGAAGGCCTACGATGAGAAGCTGGCGCAGAAAGAGGAAATGAGGCGAGAGAGGGAGGAGCGTAGACGAGAGAGGGAGGAACGAAGGCGGGAGAAAGAGAAGAGAAGATGGGATCGTACATGAACTTTGTAGGATCGCGGGGGCTTGAGTTGCTATCGGTACGACAGTGTTTGCTTGGTGTATAGTATGTATCTCATTGTGAAACCTGAAAACACGCAAGGTATCTGAGAGGCTGCCCGTATAACTTGGCATGACAGGAAGTGGATTCATACTTACGCCCGCCATGCTCATCGTGGGGCCGCCTGACCTCTTTCAAGGCCGACGACTGAAGTCTAGCTGCGCGGAGTAAAACAAGTCCACCACTTTGGAAGAGCATTGGACACATCCGGAATTGAACCGGACACCTCTCGCATGCTAAGCGAGCGTGATAAACCAACTACACCATGTGCCCATGATAACGTTGTTCTTCAATAATTATACATAGTTTTTTCCGGGTAGATGCAATGGTTACGAGACTGTGAATGGATATTATCAACCCGACTTACGCGGAGTACTATGGCGGTCAGAACGTTCGGAAATTCGACCATTAGTTTCACCCTTCTCAGCATTTCCCGCACAACATTCGCGCGAGTTCATTCCCATGTCTTCCCAGTCGTGCCGGAGTCCGGGGCCTTTGCCTCCTACCCTCCCGTCCCGTTGGCCGTCCCGTCTGCGCGTATGCGTAGCTGCTGAGCAGAGCTATCCAACGGTACCCTATTTGTGGCAGACCGAGCGAGGACGAGGGGAGGGGCGGAGGAAGCGAAAGCGCGGTGACGCGGCGGCCCGAGCCGCGTGTTTGATTGACGCGCACACACTATGGACCTCGGCCCACCTAACAATCAGCGCCTTTTGTGCGGCGTCTTCGGCTGCGAAGGTGCTGCGAAGGTGATGGCGTCAGCCAACAATAGGCTGAGAGCCTCGCGCGACTTGCTGCCCGTTCAGCCACTTCGAGGTGCTGAATGGCCTCCCCGTTTTTAAACAATCAGCACGTCGTTCTCCCGTCGCGAATCGGCTGAAAGCTGCACGTTGGGTGCTGATTCGATGTGCTTGAGGTCACCAATTGCGCCGTGTTGACTCTTCAGCCCGGCGCGGGTCCTGATCGTGTATCGGGTTCCTTGAGCTGAAGCATAGCATTCCCGGTAGAGTACTAACCAGTCGGTTTCAGGGGCTGAGTATAGCTATCTCCGTAGTATCTGGTACATACAGTATGAAAAAGAGCCTGATTGGGTCAGCTGGTCGCAATATGCTGATAGTTCGTACATGGCAAAGTGCTGTAAGGCAAGCGATACAGCATATTGCTATCATCCCTTCCCGGGTACTGATTCCCAGTAAGGTAGCCGGAATGAAATATAGCATGCAATGCACGCCTGATACTCGCGTACGCGACCTTACTGATAATCACGGAAATTCTCATTAATTCTCAATATATTTAATTGAATCAAATTCGTGGTATATGCATGCAGGTAACTATTGTTCAATTCTATACAGGGATATACTACAGCGACAGGCGGATTCTATCAAACTTCGAGAGAGTTTGCGCGGACACGGATTTGTCTCTGGGCCATGTCTGCTATACGAGAGGAGCTGCGCATGAATCGGCCATGCCACATCACGGACCACATGATGGCACGAAGTGCCCAACTTCCCTCAAAGTAATCCATATACGGATGATCGTATGTGATCTGTCGCACTTGGTAAGCATTGGAATTGGTCAAAAACGAGGAAAAACGTACGGAACGGCATATTTCAGCCACAAGATCCTCCTGCTCTTCAAACCAGGTCTTGATCACATCGTACGATTTATTGCGGGGGACGTCTCGACTGCGAAGTTCGTTCACGACATCTCGCTAGACCGGCCGTGAGCCATTGCCACATGATACTGGAGCTCCATCACATACCTTGATTTCGGTGAGAGCTCTACTCGCCGCCCCATGACCCATGAAGCCAGGTATAATGGCGAGGTACGGAAGGATATCGCCGGCTTTGATTGACCAGTCGGGAGAGACGACTCGACGGCGAGGCTTTGGGCGAGGGAATGCATACAGTACCAAAGGCGGAAGCGCATCGAGGTTGTCGAAGAGATTGGTGGCAAATTGGATGGACATGGTGGGGAGTGGCGAAGAGAACGCGTAGGTGGCGAAGAAGCCTTTTGAGCGAGAGATCGAATAATAGGTTTGATGTGGAGTGACGGCCTTTTGTCGATGTCGGCGAGCATCAATTGCAAGTACCTTGAAGAACAATACCCCATCAGCAATCAGTGGCCAGCTCGGGTTCTGGGTTCTCAGAGAGCACACAGACAAAGAGATTGCCGAGCTGCCAGAGACAACACGAGCACAAGTCGATGTACGTAGTTCGCAGTCGGCGTACTTACCTCTCTTGCGGCATGGCAGGCATATACACAAGGGACCTCATTTGCATCCTCGTGCAATTGGCATATAGCCCTCGCTAGTCCAGATGCTCGATGCCATCTTGTAGGCGTACTCCGAAGACGAGAGCTTGGTGTAAGCCTGATGGGAGGTTGGGGGACAAGTGCACGATGGAGGGTCGATGACGTGGGTTGACGGCTACTCTCATAGTATTTGCAGTACAAGCAAGTAAATATTATTCGAAGAATCCAGCTGATCTACAGTCGCGGGAAGATGGTGGTCTAAGTTGAAGTTTGCGCGCGCGGCGAAGCAACCGCGACGCGTGCCATTCGGCGGCTTACATTCCGACTACCACGATCCTCTACTCCTCCTCCTCGTCATCTATCTCGCCGAGGGGCTTGTAGCTCGTACGCTGGCGCTTGCGAACTCGGCCGCCTGTCGCGCTCTCAGCGGATCCACGTTTGGCGGCCGCCGCGCGCGAGTTGCGCATGTATTGGCGGATGAGCGCGCGGGTAGCCCAGTCGTCGGCGAAGAACTTCATGTAAGGGCACTCCTTCTTGACCTAGCAAGGTGAGTTAGCAGATTGCATTTATGATGCGGCGACGGACTCACGAGGGAACACATCTTAGTGATCTTCTCCGAGTAGCGCACGTCGATGTACTTCTCGGTGCGGTCAAGCTGGAGCGCGACGAACAAACCCCGGATGAAGCGCTGCAATAAGATCGGTAAGCCCTACTTCGCTTGTATGGATAAAGATATGAGATACCTGGGCAGCTTTGTAGGCTGTATCGGCCCGCGCCTCCGAGTCTTCGCCTTCAAAGTCCGGGACGAGCTCGAGGCACGCAGTAATGTCGCCCATCCCAATTTTGTCGTCGGTCTTCCGCGGCTTGGGAAAGCGCATGATGCTCTCGCGCGGCTTGTTCTTGGCCGCGTCAAGTGCCTTCAAGGCCTCAGCGAGCTCTGCACGTATGTCCGCCGTCGCCTTCTCAGCCGTCTCCGCACGTTCGACTAATTCCACGATGCGGTCTGTCACAGGCAACGATCAGCATGTCATCGTGGTGCACGTCGCGACAGTACGTACTATGTGCGTCCGCGAGCTGCAGCTTGAGGTCCTTGATGCCACCAGGCTTGGGCGTTTGGGCGTTCTTCTTGCCGCGAGTTGCGGCGGTCTGCGGCCCAGGACTCGGCGAGCGGTTTTCGGTGTCAGACATAGTGCGATGCAGGGAATAGAGTTGGTCGGGTCAGCAAGGGAGTAGTCAGAAGATGGTTAGGGTGCAGAGCATCGTACGCACTTGCTGTTATTTTATACTCAAACCTGTACTACATATTGTGATAGTTACAACCCTTTTTGGACAATTCAACAATTGTTCCCCCTATTATACCTTTTGTCAGTACTATTCTTGTGCTGATCCCTTTGGTGATCCCTTTTGTCGCCTGTTCCTGTTCGCAGTCGGGCATTGGCCACCGACTGATGGTCGACGTCTCGAGCGACTTGCGCTCGTATAGTGGTCAGATCGGCATCCTCCCATCCCCATCCCCATTCTCTTCCATACTACCATGTCTGGCCCAGGCAGAAAGCGTGCCGTGTCGCCGTCGAGACAGAAACGCAGCGACGTCTTCTGTATCTGGTGTAAGGAGCACCATTCACGATACCGCGAGAAGAAGTGTCGCGAAGCTGCTTCCGAAGCCACATCACAAGTTCCTCGTTTGAGTGTACGTTCTACCGAGGCTGTAAAGCGCATCGGACGATCTTTAGATGGTGGTAAGTATACAGGGTATCTCCATGTTCACCTAGACTGACTAAGTGGCAGCACCTCGGGCTGTGTCGGCCGCACAAGTCTCTGCCGAACCTGTATCAAGTCGTACTCGTGAGTTTCAATCTTCATGTGCTTTATTGCCATACTGACTATACGATGAATAGCGATCTCGTCACAGGACAAGGCAGCGCAACCTTTCACCAGCGAAACGGAATCACACAGTGCGAACACAGATAGCAGCGCAGAATCTTCAACACACGATCTGATGGCACCTGATCTCACGGACGGTTTGGACGGTTTGAGACCCGCACATGAACGTCCGGCGCTTATGCGTATTCCTGAGGACTGGCAACCCGTGTATGAAGAGGAGGAACTCGAGGATGTGACTGTCGATGGCGAGGTTGACTTGGATTCGGAACATGGAGACGATGACATGACACAGGAGCAGTACATTGAGTTAGATGAGAAGGAGGAGCTTTACGACGAAGGAATTGATCCCTTCCTTGAACTCGAGGACCTCTGCTACGCGTGGGTTCTCAAAGAGTGTCAGTTTGAAGGTACCGCCGATTGCGATGTTCTTCAATCGAGCAAAGATCGATAACTTGTATAGAAAGCGACCTGGACGATGCAGCACGCGACATTCTTCGTCACTACGCCTTCAAAGTCAAACATCATCTTACCGACCGCGCTTGGAAGGACTTGCCCACGACGTTTCGCAAGGAGGACATCGCCTCAATCAAGACTGCACGTGCCAAAATCGCTGAACTGTCCCACTTCCGGCCTGTCTTGTATGATTGTTGTGTCGATTCCTGTGCTGCGTTCACAGGACCGCACGCAGCACTTGAACACTGCCCGGTGTGTAAGAAGGATCGTTACGCTGGCGCCGGCCCGAATCGTCGCCCCCGCAAACGTTTTCGCTATCTCCCGATCATTCCCCGCCTGGAAGCGCTGGCAGGCAGTCGTTCTGCGGCCGAGAAGCGTACTTACCGAGCGCATGGTCACAAGCCAGAAGATGATAAGATCAAGGACTACATGGACAGCGAGCACTACCAACATCTTCAGCGCACCAATGTCATCATCGACGGCAAAGTTCTTCCTCATCGCTACTTCCAGAATCCTCGTGATACCGCCTTGGGGATCTCTACAGATGGCTTTGCGCCTTTCCGCAAGCGAACATCGACCTGCTGGCCGCTTATCGCTTTCGATCTCAACCTCCCACCTGAGGTTCGTTCTCATATCGAGCATATCATCTCTCTCGGCGTCGTTCCAGGGCCTAAGAAGCCGAAAGACATGGACTCGTTTCTCTGGCCGTTCGTCGAGGAGATGCTTCAGCTTGCAGTGGGCGTACGCGCCTACGATGTGCTGTCCGGCGAGGTCTTCGCTATGCGCGCATATCTCATTCTGATCTTCGGCGACATCCCGGCCATGTCACTCATCATGCGCATGAAGGGCGCGAATGGCTTCTCCCCCTGCAGGATGTGTAGCATTACTGGTGTGCACGACCCGTCGAACACGGCGAACACGGCCTTCTACTTCCCACTCGACCGCTCAAATCACCCCGCTGTTCTTGCCGATCCCACGGCTCCTCGCACATTCGATCCTGCTGCACTTCCTCTACGTACCCATGAGCAAATGATTGCTCAGGGACGCGAGGTACAAGCCGCTGATGCTGCAGGGTCGACTGGTCTTCGTGACGAGCTTGCGCGCAAGTACGGGGTCAAGGGCGTGCCTCTCCTTGCGTGTCTTCCCTCGGTTGATCTCGCAAAGTGCTGCCCATACGACTTCATGCACTTGATCTGGGAGAATCTAGTCAAAAACCTCGTCCTGCACTGGACAGCTGCATTTAAGGGCCTCGGACAAGGCACGGGTTCATATCACATCAAGAAGGACGTCTGGGATGCAATCGGTGCCGCCGCCGCCGCCTCCGGCTCGACGATACCCGGTTGCTTCGGAGCGCGCCCGCCAAACTTCGCGGCTGAGAAGATGTCATCGACGGCAGATACGTGGTCGTTTTGGACACTGTATCTCGCCCCGATCCAGCTAGACCGTCAGTTCAAGGAGAAGAAGTACTACGACCACTTCGTACAGCTCGTGCGACTTCTGCATTTGTGCTTGCAGTTCGAAATCAAGCGCAGTGAGGTTGAGGAGATCCGTCAAGGCTTCATCGAGTGGGTTAAGAAGTATGAAGAGTATGTCCTGCGGCTTCACGATCACCCTTGATGTATGCTGATTTGACATCAGGTTTTACTACCAGCACAACCCTGATCGTGTGTCCGCCTGCCCGCTCACGGTGCATGCTCTGCTGCACATCGCCGACATGATCTTGATTGCAGGCCCTGTCTGGGTGTACTGGGCATTCGCGATGGAACGTTATTGCGGGATCATACGACCAGCCATCCGGAGCAAGAAGCACCCATATGCCTCCCTCGACCGTGGAGTCCTCGAGACGGCGCAACTCTGCCAGATCGGGCTCCTATACAATGCACAGGAAAGCCTTCAGGTCCTGGACAGGCGTCTGGTGAGGTCAGATCGCAAGGGGTCTTTGCGAGTCGGGAACTGTATGTATCGCGGCTCGTGCTCTGCACACACCCTGCTAACACGACAACAGATAACTACACCTTACTTCCGCCGTCACCCACCACTCGACCCGAAGCTTCACTCGTAAACAAGATATTGAAGGCGCTTGGAACACGCTATCAACTCTCGAAGAAACCGCAGGCCCTCAAGAAGCTCGTTGCGACTTCCCACATCACTCAGTACTCAAGTGTTCGCATCGACGATGGGGACCTCATATATGCATACTCAATGCTGACCGAGACACAGCGTGCAGAGCGACGGGATGCGACCTACATCAGGGTCAGCGCTTTTGTCTACTCGTTATCGTCCCGAACTTACGTCTGTGACAGTACGAGCTCCTCGTCGACCAACGTCCGCGAGATAGGAACGAGGCAAACGCGGTTTACGAACGGGAGACGTACTTCGGTCGTCTTCAGCATCTATTCTGTGTTAGGGTACCAGCAGACCCTGCCGCTGGGGTTCTCGAAGCGGAAACTATTCTCCTTGCAGGCGTGACACCGTGCAAGATCACGAACAAGCACGACGTGCTCGATATTCACGTCTACAAAGATGAGTCACCGACGGAGGAGGTGGTCGATCTTGACTGTATAATGTGCTTGGTTGGTCGCGTGCGATACTTGAAGAGGTACTGGGCGATCATCGATCGCAGCGGCTCCCTTGCCCGTGCGGTTTACGAGCCTGAGGATTGAGAAACTCAATTCATATACATGTACATACATCTACTACATCACCAAAGCCGTTCGAGATCTGAGCGAAGTATCAGCCTAGTTTGAGTGCGATGAGCCACAATGGCATGCTGTTGAGCCCCGTGAAGTGTCATACCTAGCGCAGGCATCCGTATCGAAGGAGGGTTCAGACGGAGAGGGAGAGACGCTCGCCGCAGGAAGCAGGACGCGACCGAGCGCGCGCGCGCAGCGCGCGCTGACGCGCGATTCACACTGGCGGCAAACTCCATTCGTGCGCGTGAACCTCGCTCCTCTCCATCCAACCTCCACTATGCCCGACTCGTACGCTTGCAGCTGTCTCGGAGCTTACTCAGGGCCTCTGTGCGGCGCTCACGGAGCACGCATGGGACTCGCACATCTTCGAGCTGTTTATGAGGGGAGAGGTTTTGACGAAGATGTTCTCGACTGCCGCCGCCAACGACCTCTCTTCTATGTGCATCGTAATCTCAGCAGATGGAAAGGCAAAACTGGTTGTATAGCGAAGACATCAAGAGAAAGGGTAGTGGAGGGCTCTGGGTGCGAAGGAGCTGGGGTGTCGACGCCGGGGCATGCCCGACTGGCTTCAGTACGTATATCCTCGATATCCCCCCCAAAAATACATGGATCCTGATCCTATTGACTCTAGATGATATGCATACCGGTCATTACGAATGAGCATGTATAGGGAGGCTCTAGTTATACGATACATGAATTCCCAAATAAAAACCACCTTTTTGCCCAATTTCGCGCCGACTCAGTCGGACGCGCGTGATGGAGTTCAGTCGCCGCCATGAGCTGATTCGGCATCCAAGCAAGGGTCAAGACCGACCGTTGTGAACTCAGACTCTTTTGTGCTACTTCGAGGGGCTGCGAGTTCAGGGCGTCGATCAGCACAAAAGGACATCAGGCAAGTATCAGTCGCTTTCCGAACAATCAGCACCTTCGGCGGCGACTTTAACCGGGGTTCGGTCTTATAGTGACACGTGTGTTGCCGCGTGTATCGCAACTTGCGTCGCCGCCTCCCTCGTCCTCCTCGTACTTACAGCCTCGTACGCTATCTTCCGCTATCGTAGCTCGTATACCTACTGTTCTTATACTGATGTAGAGGCCAGCGTCTCCCCCCTCTTGCATTTCACCTTGTCTTGTAGTAGAAAAATAAATCTAATGACATTGTGCCCTTCGGGTTTGGAATAAATAACTGTTTACTTGACAAAAGGTGCTCTGGGGCACGCATGAGACTCTATGAGTGATGTAAGGTTAGAGCGTATGAGGAGGACGAGGGAGGCGGCGACGCGAGTTGCGATACACGCGGCAACACACGTGTGCGCGTCAATCAA